CGGGAGGGGGGCGGGGCGGGGAAGCCGGCAAGAGCAAGGGGGCGGCACACACCGGTAGTGCCAGATCTCAGCGCGGGCATCATCAAAGAGGCCATGCGGCAGCAGGTCCACCGGAACCCAGGGCTGCTTGAGGCGGTGGTGTGCCTGCGTGGCGATGGACGTCTCGAAGTTGAACCCGGAGGAGCCTGGTTGCCGGCCGAGGGCGAAGGAGGCGGGTCAGCGAGGTGAAGGGGGTCCAGGCGCGAAAGGGAAGGACATGGAGACGCGGCCGAGGCAGGGCGACCGCGGGCAGGGGAGCACGTACCCGGAACGTCGGACTCATTCTGCGAGGCGCCGGTCTTGGGCATCTGCTCGACCAGCCAGCCGAGCACGCGTCGGGATTCCGACACGTTGGAGTACAGAAGCTGGTGGTAGCCGAGCTCCCCGCGGAAGCCAAGCTCCTGTGGGCCGGCGGCGACGGGCAACGCGCGCGCGCGCGCGCGGGGGGGGGGGGGGCAACATACGTCAGCAGGCAAGCAGGCAGCCGGCTGGAGGCCGGGCGGGCAAAAGGGGGCGCCGGGAAGGGGCTCGCACCTTGCAGGCATCGGCAATGGCCGTGGCCACACGATACCGGCTGGCCAGCAGCGGGGGCAGCTTGTTGGGCAGCTCGCCAAAGCGCTTGGGGTTGATGGCCTTCAGGCCGGCGGCCAGGGTCTCGACCAGGTGGTCGGGCGTGATCTGGTCCAGGCTGTTCAGGTCGCCGAGGCTGGGGAGAGCGGGGCGGTCAGCTGAAAAGACGCGAGGAAGAAGGAGAGACAGGGGGAGGGAGATAGCTAGAGACTCGGGGTTAGGTAGAGGGCGGCCAGGGCGTCACGCACCAGCCCAGCGGGCGCAGGGAGACGAAGATGATACCATCGACGTCGTCCATGGTGGCGGAGGGGCGGAGGAGCGGAGTAGTGAGGTGGTTGGGGGAGGGGGGGGGAGGGGGAGGGGGGGAGGAGATGGCTGCCTGAGCGCTCCCCCCGGAGCGCTGGCGCCGGGCCGGTCGGACTTCACGGCGCCGCGGATGGGCGCGGGTGCGCCA